AGACAAAGAGAATTGGTTCCTTGTGAATTGATTCTACAAAACATCGGACTGTAGGGGAGCAAAGACATACGATATGGTATACTCGAAACATGGTACATACAGGATTATTTTTGAAATTATTGTTTTTTTGTATTTTTTATCCACTTAGACTGGTACCTGACTCGGGAATTTTAATCATAACAAAAGAAACCCTGATGGTTTTTTCCAAATCGTACTCCATATAAATTTGTTCGGGATGGCGTCGAAAAAATTAAAATGAGACATTTAACTCCCGTATCTGTAGGTATCAAAAAGTTTTTCGTTTGTAACGAAACCTACAACAGGAAAGATTTATTTAACTAATTTCGGAAACTAACATTTACATACACTGAATCCCGAGAAATCTATTGTAGATCACATATTACTGAACATAGGAGATACTGGGGTGAGAGTGACTAGGTTTGGAAAAACATAAACTTACTAAGACTCTACTTTAACTAGGATTCATCTGGGACGACTTTGAGGTTTTATTCAAAGACAAAATAGAAGAACCGAGGTAGAAGGTGTACATCCGGTATAAAGTTTTTCCAGGTCGGTAAATTTTACAACGTTGACGATAGTCACTAAAACAAGTAAGGGTTACTGGACGACGAACAAGCACAACACTTCTTCACATTGACTGGTTACAGAAAGGACGTAATTTCAGTACGTCGTACTAAAATCATATAATGTCGTCATGTTTAATGCATCACAGTTAACTTGTGAAACAATAAGAAAACATAAACTAATTCAACCTAAATCCAACACTTTGGTGAAATATTTAGTGAATTATTCGAAAATATTCTGTACTCTATTTGTCCCGTTACACTGGCCAACGAACGGGTTAATCACTCCGGGTGTAAATGACGCACATGCGCATTCGTCCCGCCTGACCGGTAGCCCCTGCGAGCCCTGGCTTTAGGGCTACCCGGCAATGACTTCACCCGGCCAGCCTACTACAACCCGGCCCGGCATTGGCCGTCCCGAGCTGTAATATTTACCGGCGACCGGGCCTTCGTGATAAAATCTGTGGCGCCGTTCGGTATTGCTTCCGATGTTGTCGACAAACGACGCCTCGCGTCGCGCTCGTCACGAGGGCACTCGCCCTTCGCGCGAGAAAGTGATGTCTTAATAGCGCGGTGGATGGTAAGCGGTTTTACAAAAAATTAATGGTCGCCATTGCCGTTCGCGGCCCGTTTTTTGTTAGAAGTTTATTTCTTTCAATGGCCTCCTCAATTTCCTCTCCACTGTCCCTCGTACTCTTCTTCTCCCTCTCCTTCAAGTCGTCGAACTAACTTGAAACCCCGAAGATTCACCACGTCACTGCAGGATTTTGGGACAAAAATTATTAGATATATCTAAATACTAAACTTGTAATATTTTCATCCCATCTGTACACCTATAATAGGCCGACTTGTTTTGCACGTAAATAGATTGTCCAAACCAAAAGCGTGTCTGGAATAAGGTCGATAAAAGGTTTTGGAAAACTCTTTAGGGTAACGAAAAACGTCGAATGAAGGACCAAATCCTGCGAGTGCGCACGTGGAGATTATAGCGTACGGTTATATTTGTTCCAAGAAGACAGCCGAGACATGTAGTTACGGCTTGATACGACTGTTCCATTCACTTCTCATCTGTTATATTTCCAGTAACCGCCTTACAGGGCGTCGCTCAATCCTATTACCTTCCCCCAGACTAGTTAGTTATGTATCGGTAATGTACAGATTGTAGGACTTACTGTCCCTTCGTCTTTTCACGTATTCATGGAGTATTATTATCGTCTGTAAAAAATAGTTACTGGTTTTATAGTACTCTCCACTCTCTATCTTGAACTAATAAGTTTACAACATCATTGTTCATCCATTACACTCAAACACGTATTAACTGCATAACGTTGTTTCCACATTAAGAAGTAATAATCAGGCTAAAAAAACCAATTCCTTACGGGACCCTCGGTAACCAATGTTACACCGGTACCCATTCATATTACGGTCACGTAAAATGGTACGTACGAATGGGGAATTACAGATAAAAAATACAAATATGGAGACGCACATTCCAGTGATCGTGGCGCCAACCCCGGCACGCCCATGCCTTCACCCCGCGGTTAGCTCCTCAGGGTCAGGCGGGGACGACGATTCGAATATAACCGATCGCGATCGAATGAAAGTAAAGAAGTAGTCGGGGTCGCGTAACGGAAACCCGATAGACAACAAGCGCGCGCGCTAAGAAGGGGGGAAGGGTAAGCACACTACAAGATCCCCGTAAGACGACCCCTAACCTACTTACTCAATGCATTGTAATATTGACGCTTTTCCTCTCGGACAATACCATTTCACACCATTTGTAGTAATTCGAGTAGATAACTACTAGGTCATTCTCCATACTTGATCGACCTCTTCCCAACGCCAACAAAAATTCACAATTTATGCCTATGAGAGCCAGTAAATACTTCAAACTCAATCATTAGATAAGTGCGACTGGATTATGTGTAAAAAGTGTACTTATTTTCATGACGGAGCTGCCATCCATGGAGGACCTTTACTCCCAGCGGCTCAGGAAGAAATCCCTCCGGATTATAAAAGACCCCCATCACCCCAGCCACAAACTGTTCAGTCTGCTGTCGTCTGGCAGGCGTTACCGCAACATCCAGACAAAAACCACCAGATTCAGAGACAGTTTCATCCCACAGGCAATAAGACTTTTAAACACCTGAACTGTTGTAACAAAATCCATAACATTCATCTGCTACTTAGTAATTATTTATCTATTTATCATTCCAATAGCTTCTATATAGACTCTTATTGCACTATTTCACTATTTCACTTTTTTAAAACAATTTTTCTTTTTGTATTTACTTTTTAATATTTATTTGCACTATATTTTTCTGTTTTTCTGTATTATTGTGTTGCACTGTTGGAGAAGCCTGTGACCTAATATTTTCATAGACATAACTACACTGTAGCTATGTTCGTATGCCAAATAAAGAACCTTGAACCTTGATCTCTTTCTTGCATTTCCAGTATGTGTTGGTATGTATTAGTCCTATTTTGAAAAGCCTAGATGGTGTCCAGTAGGCCCTAGTACCGGTGTAGAGAATTTTATACTGAGTGAATTTACCTCTAGTTTCTTTAATATATTTACCATTATCAGTTTAACAGAATAACTTCCCCCATTTCCCTAGGATTTCTTTTTGTTTTTTTGAAGGAGTGGATCAAAATTGAGTGTGGTCTGCACTGATAGTTTGTTTGGTGTTCCTGAAGATCTGTATGGATTCTCAAATTCATCTCTTTGACAAGCAACAACATAATTGGAAACACTTATTTGTGGTATCATCATATCTTACACCCTTTATGTTTAGACTAATGCTTTTATCAAGGTCCAACCACAGCCTCTTTGAGAAAGGCATAGCCAAAACATGTGTGGTTAAGCTGCTGACATAGGCTACTATGAAATAATTTGACAGAGCTGACACTGTGATTTCATAGAATGTAGCTGTATGACCCTCATGCTTGGAATTTAGGGTAGACATCGGGTGGGAGATACAAGACCTCCATATTGGCAATTTGGACTCTAGGTCCTTGGAAACTTTTAAGGACAGAGATACCACATTACAAAATGTAATCACACAAGTTACAGCATTCATGTTAGCTTAGTCATTCTCCTCCCTGTGAGCCATCACAAAGTCAGCACTGCACTAAGACAAAGCTTTGTTCACAGTGAATAAATGCCCATCCAATGCAGTTCATTTTGGAGGGAATCTGATGTTTTGGCAACCTTCTCTTTAAGTTGTTCTCTGTGAAACCCCACACTTTTGCAGATGGTTTTAAGGAAATCTTTAATGTTGATTTCAATGTGTACTTGATGACTGTTAAAAGTTCAAGGGCAATGTGATTCGCAATGGGCTCTGGTTTAAAAGAACATCTAGGCCTACATCCAAGTTGAGATGGTGCCATCAAATAGTTAGGACGGTGGTTCTTTACGCTCACTGATTGGGCACACCTCTAAAATGTTCATACCTCCTACTCTCTGATTGGCTCATGAAGACCCAATGCCAGCTTGCCATTGATCAAACAACACGCCAGTCGAACGGCTTTGGTACGCCTCCTGCATAGACCGATCAGTCGGCTGATGTGGAACCAGAGTCCTGAGAACCAATCAAAGACCTTGGTTTCGACAGGCAAGTTTCACGCGTGCACAACAGACAAGTCTATTCAACTTGAATGCGCGTTCACGTGTGGGATATGTTCAAGACTTCTACTGGATAAAGCGTACGTCTTAGATCTATACACACATACAATAAAGTTAAGCAAATTAGAAGAAAAATAACAATTGCCCCTGAAATGTAGGCACACATAATTATAATAATTCACAATACCTAAATTTCCCCCCTAAATCTTTTCATATTTTGATTGATACTGTGGAAATGTGAAGCCGTACAGTTCAACAACTTATCAGTATACTTTGGTTGGATACACATTTTTTTATATTAAACATCTGGATACATAAAAGTATAGTTAACTTTCAAGTGACACTTTATCTGTAATATCTGTAATTTATTTTCATATGCTGGGTATCTTATAGGCTTCTTGAAATAGTCGACATGTGGAAATATAAATAAAAAATAAATACTAAGGAAGTTATGATAATGAATTGGTTTTCGCAAGCTTTTAATTGACCAAACTCATCTTTTCAGTTTAGCATTTTTGAATTTAAAAATGGTTAATAGTAAAGGTGGATATATAGCTTTCTGGAACATACTTACATTAATGTGCTCGGAACCCTCTTGAAGCTCCATTAAACAATACTTTTTTCCCTGTTTCGGAATCGGAGCTTTTCAGAACACTGTTGAACAGACATTTGTTTTTTCCATATGTACATAATGAACGAATGAACACTGCTTTCTTGAACGCAGCTCGCTCTGCTACGTCATGACGCCGGGGCGTGGTCTGTCGGTTTTCCTCGGCCGCGTCACGCTTGCCTTTGACAGAGAGCCCTGCTAGCTGTCGCGCACCGTAATTCCCCAGCATTTCAAACTAAGCAGCTAGCCGGTGATCTTATTTAACACAAGCGCTCTCCTCAGGGACAGTTTAGCTTCAGCAAGGAGCTCGCACTTACCGGTGGTTCGCATCTGACTAAGGGACGTGACAAAGTACAATATGTCTAAAGACACGGAAGGGAAGAGCGAGGAGATTATGGACATGGAGAGCAAGGTGCTGTGGTACCCGGACTCCAAGAAGAACACACAGATGGACAAATTTAGGATACAGGTCAACAAGGACTACGGGCTTAATCTGGGTGAGTAGAGAGGAGGCAGACAACGACCCAGACAGACAGAGAGACACATTGTGTTATACATGTCGGCTAGTATTGAGCGTCTGCAGCTGGATATCTGAGTCAAATATAAAATTAGAAACAGTGTCCTCCTTCTGCTATCTAATAACCTTACCTACAATGGGCTTACAATACCTCTAAATTGCCACTGTCTAAAGCGGATTTACAGTGCTTTTACAAGCTAGCTTTGGTTTGCAACCATGTAAAGGGGGTGCTCAGTTGTAGAGATATTGCACCGGTATATACACTCTCTGCAGGTGTAATGGTATTATTGATAAGTATGACATGTGACTCAGCATTCCCTTTTTGATCAAACTAGCTGTTAAAATACACACAGCAGCTCACTCCAAGTTCCTGATGAAAGAGATCAGCATTTTGTATTTGCATCTTTGAAGCGTGTTCATTTTTGGGAATTCTGAAGGAATTATAAATAACCTGCTCTGCTTGGTACTGAAAAGAGAGGGAGATGGAGGAAGAGACATATTTAGATAACATTTTTGAAGTCAACCTTATTTGCCACTCTGTCTTTGCACAGTGTAAAAAGACACAATACGTCACATAAAAAAGCACTTCCCCCAAATTAATTACGTAAGAACCTTTCCCATTATTAGTGTTGTTCTCTGATACAGAGCAGAGCACATCCTCGAAACCCCAGACCTGCTGGAATGTGTCCAGATCTCCAGTACTTTTATAAAAAAATTAAAATCAACCATCAATCTGAACTTCATCATGTTAATACTGACAGTGACAGGTTCAAAGTCAACACTTTCTTCCACCATCTTGGCCTGCCCTAAAACAAAGCTGTCACTTGTATTTTAAACCCAGGATAAAAACCTGCTTGATAAAAACCTCTCTACATTTTGTAAAACAGCTTTAAGAAACAGAAACAAGAGATAGTAAACTGCAGGCGTAAACACTAATGCTATTATTAATATGTATAGCATGTGAGTCAGCCCTCCCTTATTCATGAAATAGCTGTTACAATACGCACAGCCGCTCACTCTCGACAGACAGCTGTGGCAGATGTGTGTGTGTATTCCTTATGGGAGATATGCTTTTTACCAGGCATCAACGCTATTAGTAGAGTTTGTATTTGAGTTAGTAATCAATCTGATTTGAAAACTGTACAAACTTCACGTTTGAGAGGATGGTCATACCTGTGTATTAATATATTTGTGTTATGAATCTGTAGTAATTGCTGTTTCTCTGTCCATTAGCCAACTACAATGACCTGTACCAGTGGTCGGTGGACAGCTACCCAGATTTCTGGTCCGAAGTGTGGCGCTTCTGTGGAGTAGTGAGCTCAAAACCTTATGAAGAGGTGAGTCCAACCTCTGCTGGAGCATTGGATGAGAGAGGGGTCTCAGCCATAAATCCAACAGCCACTTTCAGTATTACATGAAGAACTAAAATCTAAAAATACAATTAAAATACATTTTCACAATTTCCAGGAGTTTTCAAAAAATATATATTTTTGAATCAAGGGCTGCTAGAAAAATACATACTGTATATAGAAATATAATGGCATTTGTTCCCATTAGCATTGCACCTACTTTATCAAGGCTACATTAAAAGTCTGTTTGGTAAAGTCGGTTTCACTGATTGTTTTTAAATGACCTTATCTTTATCAAATATTATCTTTAAATTATTTCATTTACTGTCTAGCCTCCTTATGCTGTTTGGAAACAGGACAAAGCCACTCTGGTGGGCGTGTTATGTAATAAAGGTTGACACCTCATTTGCACACATGGATAATTCCAAGTCACATATTCTTTTTTTTCAAGCATTCATTTAGTCAGCCACTTAACCCTTTGTTAGGTTTGCTGTCCCAGCAGATAAGTTATCTGCTTGTTTTTAACATGAATGCACAGTGGGCTGGGCTATTCAATTCCATGATGAATTGTCATATCGCTTACTGATTTTGTCCAGTAAAAAGATCAGCTTTTGCAATGACTTGATACTTGTGTAGAGTAGTTACTTTCTGATTTGAGTGCTTTTATCTCACAATCCCATTTGTTTACTCAAATTCTGTGATAGCAAGGTCACCAACGCTTAAAATACAAGGCCTTGATTGACTACAGTGCTGATTCTCTCGTGTGTGTGTGTGTGTGTGTGTGTGTGTGTGTGTGTGTGTGTGTGTGTGTGTGTGTGTGTGTGTGTGTGTGTGTGTGTGTGTGTGTGTGTGTGTGTGTGTGTGTGTGTGTGTGTGTGTGTACAAGGTGGTGGATGTATCCAAACGGGTCTCAGATGTGCCAGAGTGGTTTAAAGGAGCTCGGCTCAACTACGCTGAGAACTTGCTCAAACATGCAGACCAGGACAAAGTAGCTCTCTATGCTGCAAGTAAGTATTGAAAGAAATTGATGAAAATGATGATAAAATGAATCTTACACAGTGCTGCATGCTGACTTTATTGATCAGTGTTAATTCCATGCATAAAAAAAACATTTCACACAACACAGCGCTCATTTTTTGTTACATTCCTGCAAAAAACACCTTCATATTCAAATCATACATAATAATAATAATAATAATAACTTTTATTTATATAGCGCTTTTCAATAACCCAAAGTCGCTTACAAAAAAAAAATTAAAAGTACAGAAAGGGGGTGAACAGGCAGAAGACAACATATTGGACAAGAAAATTGAACATGAACATTACATGAACAGGCAAAGGACAACACAGGGGGGGAGCAAGCATAGGACAACGAGCAAAAGACAACATAATGGAAAAGAGGAAAGAAAAAGTTGATGAATGTATGAATAAGAGATGCAGCGTGGGGTGAATAAGAGATACAGCGTGGGGTGTGAGTGAAGTCAGTGGGTTGGGGGGTAGGGTAAG